GGCACAAAGAGTTGTTGGTTGTGAGATACCTAGCTAGACTATAAAATTCTTTGAGAGCAGGTAGTGTCATATTTACCATTTTAGACTTAGCAATGTGATAGGCATAGTGACTGGCAAATAGATGGTCAATAAGACACTTTTAAAAATATATGATTGCATGTGGTCATGAAACAAAAAGTTAGTAGGCATCTATAGGACTACAACTTCAATGAGTAGTAAAGTAACGATACAGATTTAGGAGTTGTCTGGAGAGAAGAGAGTTCTATAAAGTCATGAGAATGGATTAATTCATGAAAGAAAAATTTGTTTTGGAAAAAAAACCCCAGAGTGAACCTAGTATAGGAACCATTTATTTGAGGTCTTAAAGGACTTCCTTCAATTTAAAAATTATGAAAAAAGAAATAAAATATTATTCAGTGTTTGTGTCACAAAAAGTCTTTTTGGATTATATCCTGCCCGAGGAGCTTGTGGTGAGTTGATCAGTTTGGCACATTTTTTTTTCTTTCAGTCAAAGCCAATGAGATATAGCTAATATACAATAATGTAAAGTGTGTTACTCAGATACAATATCATTTGATAAAGATGACAGTATCTTAATCCACTTGACTCTAAATGAGAATAACCTAATGATTTTTTGAAAGTGTACACTGAAAAATGTTAGATCATATTCATAGCGCGTGCTTTCTCATTTAGAAATGGTGTACACAAAAATGGTGGCAGTGGTTAATTCTGAGTGATATGGAGAGATAGAAGAGACTAGAAGAGTGGGTATTAATCTAAGTAGTAATTAGAATTTAATTATATTTTAAAAGGAGGCTGAATGTATTATAATATTTAAAGGTAGAGAAAGAAAAGTTTATACTTTTTCTCATGCTCCTCTGAAAGAGGTAATGCTTCCCAATAGGTCAAACTTCTGTTTATTTATTACTTATACTCAATCCTTTCTATTTTGTGAAGAGAGTATAACTAAAACCAGATAATTTTATTCATAAATAATGCACCAAAACAAGTGAACATAAATTGCAATACAACTAGATAGGATGAAAGCAAACCAACAAATATCAGTGTCATTGTCTATTGAATTTTTAGTCTTTCCTTAGGGTATCTGGGATGCCATATGTAACATACAATCTGAGTTCCAAGACTGAATGAAGATTCCAATGTTAATCAAGGTATTAAACATTAGTAATGCTTTGCTTCTTTATTAATATTCTTTACATTAAAAAATACATGTACAGTAAGTTCTAGTATTTTCCTCCCATACCTCTGCTGATGACCTTGTGCCTCACCCCCTCATGGAGTGTAAGCCCTTCTCTTTGAAGACTATATCAAACTAGTCTAGATTCACTCTAAAGTTTAATAATAGAAGCTAAATTGGCAAAAATAAAAATTTGCTCTTGGGAGTGGTTCTTTAAAATTGTGGCAGCAGAAAATACCCTGGCTGGTATGGCTTAGTTGTTTGGTTTATTCCTGGTCAGGGCACACACCCAGGTTGCTGGTTTGATCCCTGGTAAGGGGCATGCAAGAGGAGCCAAACAATGTTACATTCTCACATCGATCTGTCTCTCTTCTCCCTTCCTCTCTCTCTCTCTAAAAATCAATAAACTATTCTTTGAAAACAATCCTTAAAAAAACACACACAACTCTAGGATCTATGAATTGAAATTTTTTAAAAAAATGCATGTATATTATTTGTTGATTACTTCAATTCCATAACTTAATGAGCACATGTAAATGACCCATGGAAATGAGTTAATCTTACAGGAATGTCCCAGTTTTTGTTACTTTTATTTTCTGGGCAAATAATATCTGTTAATTCTTATAATATATTAGGGAAAGACCACCTAATTTGGTCTCCTTTTCTTTAGGCCAATGATACATCCATTTTAATCCACAGGACTCATTTTCTCCCTCAAGAGCTGCCATTTTTCTGTGTTATCACCCTTTTAGCAGTGCTCACATGAGTGAAGATGTGATCCGTCATTAAACCCTCTTAGGCTCTTTCTTCAATAGAAAAGATAGTACACTAATTGCCCGAGTAAGTGCAAAGCAGAACATAAGGTCAACCCTCAAAACTTAGGCTATTAGTAAGTATGAGATTAAATTATTTTTTTGCTGATGACTATTTAATTAAGTTCATAAACTTAATTAATTATTATCGTCTGCAATTACAGGGAAATGTACACAATCCCTTTATAAACTCTGGTTATCTTTTTCTATTCCTTTCTTTTATTTTGGATGCTGAAGAAATGCAATCAATTTGGGAGCATCTTAACTTTCTCCTTAATGTCCTGGTATAATGTCATCTTATCGCTGACTTTTCCTCATTGACATTTTGCATCATCCACTCATTGTCTTTGACTGATAATCAATCACTCAACAATGCAGCAGTAGAAACCACTATGGTGCCTGCCCACATCCGACTGAGGATGCTGAGAACCAATGCAATAAAATTCACATGTAGTAATTTCATTACCATAGTACAAATTACTAATGCCTGCTAATCCTCAGAATTAGCTGATCATTTTTCAGCCTTATAAAGAACATTAATTTAAAAATCTTCATACGTTACATTAATTAGAACATAATACATCAATGTCTTTATCACAAGTAAAGCAAAGGACTAGAGACAATGTGTTGTGGAAAAGAGAACCATACAGAGAGAAGAGTTAGAAAAACATCACCTTTGAAGTCTACTGAAAGCAATTAGCAATACAGTGAATCCTGGAAGGAGGGAGGGAGTGAGAGTAGGGAGAGAATAAAATACCTACATTTTTGAGGGCTTTATTATGGACCAGGAACTATTTTAAGTCTCATTTAAACTAGACACAAGTATTATCCTCATTTTACAGTGGGAGAAAATGAAATGTAAACAGTTAAGAACATTCTCAAGTTCACAGTTAACGATAACACCTGGAACTGAACCCAGGAGCAGGTGTATTCCGCCATCCCACTCCACCACAGAGAATAAAAATAAGTTATCCCACATATTCACTGAAAGTAAAAGTAGGGGAGAAAGCTAAAAACAAACATAGAAATAGAACCTTTAAAACCAAATTGAAGATAATTTGAAAGAATGGTGTAGCAGGAAAGGTTCCTGTGGGAGGCAGTTGAACCTCTATTTTTGAGGTTTTTAAAAATAAAATAGCTTCTACTGTGATATTTCACTAGTTAAATATTACTGTACCTCTGGATGCCCCCACCCCAGTCTTCTGATGTAATATGAAAATGCTGACTTTCTTAACTAGGAGAAGAAATTGTACATACTACATCTCATTCCAGAAGCCTCAAATCTGGTTCTTGTTCTTACTTTGGACATGTTTAGCATAATTTTATTCACTTAAGCCACGGAGTATATTTTCTACTGTATTATTATTTACTAATATAAAGAACTGAGAATATTTTTATGAATTTTAACAAATAAAATGAGAATATTTGTTTATGAATGAGAAACATTTTAATGTAACTACTAAAACCATGTTAAAAGCATATTTGCACAATACTAATTTAAAGTTAGCACAAGTACCACTATATAAAAATCAAAATAATAATGGGTCATAATCATAAACTAATATCTTTTCGTACTTTTTTGTTAGATTTTTATAAGTTTTTACTCTTGAGAAAAATCAAACACCCAAAGAACAAAGTTACTTTTGCTAAAGTAAGTTATAATTTTCAATTTAATTAAGTGATCTGTTAAGTTTTGTGAAATATTTATTCAGAAATTTATTTTTCGTCTCAAAATATATTTTCACATCTTTTGTCATATTGTTGATAATTAGACATACTGTCAGTCTGCTTCAGTTTTTCATTTTCAAATGTTTTAGGAAATATATTTCATATTAATGCTTAGCAGAATATTATAATGAAATTTTAATATTAGATTAATATTGTATTTGCAGTATTTTAAATAAAGTTATTTTGTATGAACAACACAATGTGTGTTTATAGCTTTATTCCCCTTTAACATGTCCTGGCTCAGAGACTTTAAAAGTAGCTCTTAAAATGATCTATTCTGCATGGTTGGCTTGGCTCAGTGGTTGAGCATCAACCTATGAAGTAGGAGGTCACAGTTTGATTCCCGGTCAGGGCATATACCCAGGTTGGGGCTCCATTCCCAGGGCAGGCCATGCAGAAGGCAGCCGATCAATAATTCTCTCTCATCGTTGATGTTTCTATCTCCCTCCCCATCTCCCTTCCTCTCTGAAGTCAATAAAAATTTATTTTTTTTTAAATTATCTATCCTACAACTTTACTGATCTTCATTGGACGTTTGTGTATTGAGACTAAAAGTCTGTGGATGAATATAATTATCTAAAGTGAATATGTATAAATAATGGGAAATTCACATACACTAAGACTACACTATTTATTATTGTGGGAGAGAAAAAAATATTTTTTTGCCTTTTTTGGGGGTGTATTCTTACAATAAAATCTGTTCTATTTAGAGCTAAAATGGACAGTGCTAGAAAAAGCTTATACGGCCCTGCCATTCTACTTTGTGAGGAAAATAAGTCCCAAGGAGCTAAGCAGCTCTCCCATGGTCACACCAGCAAGGTGGCAAAAACAAGCATCCTGGCCTGTGGCCCAGGTCTTTCCTGCACCACCGTCACTCATGGTTCCCTCAAAGGAAAGAGACATAAAATTCTAATGAAGAAGTGTCACCAATGTCCTCTAATATTTTGTTGTTGTTTTCTTGAAAACAAATTGGGGCCACACCTCAGTGCCGATCATACCTCCCCAACTGGAAGAGTGTGGCCTTCATGAATCACCCGCAGTTGCACCTTGTGGCCTTCACTGCTTGGAGCTTCTCTGTGGAACCGGCTGTCACAACATCGATCATGTTCTTATCAGACTCTGTCTTGGTTGCAGACCTCAGTCGCTGAACCTGTCAGACTTGTTTCTTTTCTTGTTACCAATGACTGTCATTATTTTCCAGCCTCCCAGCCCTGACCTGGCTGATATAGATCAGATGGTGTCTGGATAGAAGCTGCCCCAGTTCTGGGTCCATGATGTATGCGTAAGTACACATGAAGCTTGCTTTTCTCAGTCGGGTTATCAACAGGGAGAGAGGTTTCCACCTCCTGGGTCAGAAAGGACAGGTGATGGCTGGTGGAGAGAGCTTTAAAAATAAGACTCTTTCTTGTGTTATTGTTTTTTTTGTGTTAAAGTTTTATTCTGTTGTTTTTAAATGTAGGAGTTGTTTGTTTTTTTTAAAAAAAACAAAGGAACCAATGTAGTCCTTTCTAAATAATAGAAATAGAAATATATGCAGTAATAAGTTAACTATGTTATATTTAAACATTTAGAAGAAACTATGCTTCAAAGAGTAAAGTTTTTAATATAGTTCATGTAACTTAGTATGATCAAATAGCTTTGTATAAATTTTTGTCTTATGTTGCCTATAGAAGTATACTCTGGAAAAACTTAAAATAAATGTAAGAGGGGAGTCTATTAGAATTTTTATTTCTCTAACTAAACAACAGAAAGTATGGTAGCAACATATGAATGAAATGATGAAAATTAAAATATTGGTATTTAAAAATTATTGAGTTAACAAAATCTAGACTCTATGTGACATTTGTCATAATTGAACTCCAAAATAATTGATTAATTAATGAATTTAAGGCAAATAATTTGTATATGTTTATATTTAGGCAATTTCAGGCTATTGTTTTACAGATTGAATAACTGATATTTGATCAGAGTGATTTCATTTAAACTCCTGCTTAGTCTAACTTGACTTCTCACAGAGCTTCTTGATTTCTCTACCAACACCAGTTTCCTACATATTCTGCACTGACTGTGTCAAGTGTATTCATGATTTTGTGATAATTATAAGTGTTCAGTTATTTGATTTTCTCTTTGATGAAATATAATACTTTAGGCTTGTAGGCTCTGACATTATCTGATGACTGTTCTTGCTCTCTCAAATAACAGCATGAGTCATGCACATGGGTCCCCACGGACCCTTTCATGTTAGCATGATGTAGCATATTCTCTGAAGTTCTTATTAAAGACAAGGAAGTGTATTTCTTATTTACTAAGATAAGAACAGAGTAAGAAAAAATGTGCAGTGGAAAAAGCTTACAATTATGTTTAACAAATATTCCTACAAATATGAAAAGCTAATGATTTTAGTTTTAAAAATTAATGAGCAGAGAACTTGAAGTTCTGTTCTTACTTTTTCCAGAATTGTGTGTATGGCTTTTCTATTAACCTGGTTTTCCTCCTCCCAATTTATTATGTCATCTCTACTCACTCATTTTTCCACTCTGAAAAATGACATGAAATTTCATTGCAGACATGAAATTTCTATATTGAGCCTTAACAGTTTTAATTCAGAGTTTATAGTTCTGAGGATTTTAAGTATTCTTTCTAATTGGATTCCAGGATGAGTATCATTTTTAACATCCATATTGTCAAAAACTATGGATTGTGCCATTGATATAAGACAAGATGATTACTAATGGAATTCATTAGTAAAGGTATTTTGCCCAAGATATAGGGTGTCAAAGAACAGATGAGCTAGATATGCAAAGCTTCTTAGCAGAAGTTACCTCTTTTTCATTGTGGCGTAGTGCGAGGAGTAGTGGCATGAGATTTAGATGTATCTAGATTCAGTTTTGCACTTATTTGCCTGGACAAGTCATCTCTCAAGACTTCACTTTTTTAGTTATAAACTGTGGAGAAAGTTTACAGTAAAATAAATAGGGAGGAGGTTGTCACTATTAATGGGACTTGAAATCATTGTTGTGAATAAGAACAAAACTATTTTTGTTTTATTGGTTTATTACTTGTTTTATTTTGATACTATTTATTTAATTTAATTTGTGTGTTTTTTGTATTAAATAATGATGAACTACTATCCAATATTAATTTTTATTATATTTTAATATATCCTAAGTAGTAAATTAGTAAGTGTAAGTATTATATTGTGAAACTGTTGTTTATGTGTGTGCCCCATACTGTGATGTAGAACATTTCTTATTGTGGGTCATGGTAAAAAATATGTTTAAAAACATTGCATTAGATAGCATTAAAGTTCTTTGGAATACTTAAGTTTTATGATTTCTAAAGAGTTAATAGCTAGTTAATAATGAGATCATTAACTTTCTTAAGGTACTAGAGAATCATTTAAATTACCCCAGGGTTTACTTTTTTTTTTTTTACTAGTCCCCATATCTGGTACTCTCCACAGTGAGGTAGAGATTAGAGATATGGTTACTAGTAGTAGAGACCTCAGAGGCAATAAGCAAATCAGTAAGCCACATGATGGCACACTCTGATAAGTACAAAAATAAAGTAGTATAAACAAGGTGCTAGAAGAATGCCCACTTAATCTTATAAAAGCTTCTCTGAATATACAATGATTGAGTTTAGTCTCATAAAGCAAGTAGGAATTATTAGAACATAGCCCTTGCAAAGGTCGAGAGACTTGAGATGTATTTACAAATAGCTATTGGACATTATCAGATAAAAATGAAGTGAACAGTCAGACTACAAAAGGCCTTTTGTACCAGATTAAAGTCTCTGAACTACATTGGGAGAGTTGAGTGAAAATTAAACAAGAGGAAGGAATGATGAAATTTGCAATTTAGTACTGTTAGGATAGAACAAAGCAGTTTGATGGTTCATTTGTCTTCTGGGTAGAGTTGCAGAGCTAAATAAAGGGAGTGGCAGGGAGACCACCTATGTACACTTTTCTTCTGTCTTCAAGAGTTGTCATATTCTTGAATTATATAATCACTATATGCCTCCAATTAATGTTCCTTCCCACCTTTGGTGAGACACTATAGTCTTCCTTCAAGATTCTAATCAAAGTTACTGTAAAATATTTCTCCTACCCTCACATCACGCATCTTAATTATTCCTGAAACACAGCCTTCCTATCAAACTTGCATAAGACACTGTTTATATTTCTGTTGGCACTTCTCTGTGTGATTATTTGTTTTCAATTATATCTCCTCAGTTAAGCAGAGAGCTTTTTGCATTCCCAGTGCCAAACACATTGCCTGGTCCATCATAGACTGTCAACATTCATGGGTTGACTTACAATAAAATACGCCTAAAGCCAAAGAACAGATGCTTAGAAAGAGGAAAGGTTAGGAATAAATGAAAATTTCAAACTTACCTTTTTTTTTACATACCTATTCAAAAAGGTGTATGCGATATTTGAGTTACAGTAATTCAGAAGGTAAATAAAAAGCTGAGCAGTGGAGAGAATTCATCTCAAGTAAACATATGTTGTTTACTTGAGAATTTATTACAGAAGAGATAAAAGCATCAGATAAATGCTTATAGACTAGATTTTAAAGTTTCATTAGCTCATTAATTCAACAAATGCTTATTACCAGTAGCACACAATACACACATAATATATGTATATACCTACATACATTATACATGCACAGGGTGCGTTATGTGTATATAGTACATGTGTACACATACACATATCACATACACATAAACAAATACACATACAGACACACATAAATAAAACATATTCTCTACTTTTATGGTTACAATCTAAAGGAGGAGACATAATAAACAACTAAACAAACAAATGGATGTGAATTATAAATATAACTATGAGGTAAGGATTTGTACTTTTCCCCAAAACATTTTTCTAATTCACTTCATTTATTTTATAATATCTAGATTTGATGATAATGCTGGTAGTGATAACTGATGTCTTTTATTTACAAGAAATTTTTAGTTTACATGATAACATGGTACAGTCTACTTTTGTTTATCTACAAGATAAATTTGTGAAATATATTTTTGAAACATTAAGTACTGAAAAAGTTTTCTACTGTGCTTAATGAAGCTTTGTGAAGATCTAAATAGGACCTCTTAACACTATTCAACAAATGTAGGAAGACTGCATGGAAACCAGTATTTGACTAAGACGATAAGTCTGTGTTGCTTTAAGCAAGTATTTGTAGTAGTCTTTTTAAAAAGGATATTGTGTATTGGAGTACTGTGTACTGGTGAATGGATATTTAGGGACAAATAGCAAGAAAGTTTTCATACTCTTGAATCATATAATCACTACTAGAAGCCCAGTGCATGAAATTCGTGCACTGGGGGGGGGGGCAGGTGTCCCTCAGCCCAGCCTGCACCCTCTCCAATCTGGGATTCCTCTCACAATTTGGGACTGCTGGCTCCCAACCGCTCGCCTGCCTGCCAGCCTGGTCACCCCCTAACCATTCACCTGCCATCCTGATCGATGCCTATCTGATCCCCTGCCAGCCTGATTGCCCCCAACTGCCCTCCCCTGTCAGCCATCTTGTGGTGGCCATCTTTGACCACATGGGGTGGCCATCTTGTGCAAGGGTGTGATGGTCAATTTGCATATTACCTCTTTATTATATAGGATATGGCTTCCTTATTTATTATGAAGCATTTGAACCCTTAGCATTTTCAAGAACATTTATATTCAAACTACAGAAATTTATTACAGAAGAGATAAAAGCATCAGCTAAGTGCTTATAGACTAGACAAATTCAAAGGCAAACCAGAAATGTTTGCATTGGATTCTGTACATTATATTTTCTTCCAATAATGTGTATGAGTAAATTTTAACTCTTACTTGATTCTTTTTAGCTGCCAGTATTTATAATATATTGACTTGTTTTTAAATAATTTTGCAAAGTTGTTGTTTTTATAATTGCTTGCTTATTTCTGCTCAAAATTTGAAAGCAGGCTGCTTTGAGGCATGGGACAATTTATATAACATTATCACTGGGGGAAGAGAGCAACCCATACATTGAGTATTTTATATAAAACAAAAATGAATTAATTTAAAACATAACTATAGAAAATATACAGTAGCATGATATACTAGTGGAGACCATATGAAATTGATGCTTATTGGATTAAAAATAACTGAATATCAGAAATTTTATATGGTTCAAACTTATCAAGTCTCCTTCAGATCTTGTTTTATTTACTCTAGAATATAATATATGGAATGACTAATGCAACTTTAAAATTACATAATTTAAAAAACTATCA